GGCTGTTATGCATTTCTTTTTGGTTTTCTTTTCTGTTATGACACTTTTTGTATTTTTTTCTTTTCAATCACAGTCTCCTTTATTCGCCTAGAGTTTCAATCCTGCTTTATTTTGGATGCTTTTCGTCGCAGGTTCGAGCTCATAATATTTTTTCTTTTCTTCTTTTTACAAACGGCAAAAAAGGGGGGGGGTCGTACCGAACCCCCAAAAAGGGGGGGGGGTCGTACAGGCTCGACCAAAATCCCCATCGAATGCTGTGCCCTGCATCGATCGTCGAATCGCGCCGTCGAAGCGCTGCCGTTCCGAAGTCTGAACGCTGCCTAATATGCAATCCGAGTGGTATTATACTATGGAAAAGACAATAAACAATAGAATATTCACCTATAGAAGTAGGAGCATCCCCGAACTGAATTGTGACTAAATTGCTCAGCATTCCTCTCGCTACCGAAATCTTCTAGAGGATCCGACCACAGCAGGTCGCACATCGGTCCAAACGCCGGAGGCTCTTTGAAACGGTCTAGCTGAAAATGTAGCAACATATTCAGGACCACAAGATAATCACTGCTGAGAGAAATCATTGAACTCTGAGCTCTGAACGGAACAATGATAACCATCGAACTAAGGCTGCGTTTATACTTTCCTTCTCGAGCGATTCAACGCCACAACTACCAAGCGCATTTTACCGCCATACACTGGTCCGCTGCGTAGGCTACCAGAACATCTATTTCCAATGTGACTGTATCGGCATTTGAAAGGACCCAACAAATTGACGGTAGAGCATATTCTGACATCCAATCTCAGATTTTCAAGTCGCGCGGCTGAATCGCGAAGTATGAAAGCGACTCAAAGAATGGTCAAACCCCTGACTCTATGGGGAGGGGGGGAAAGTCAGCTTTTGCACCTCATCAGAGACAATGTGCGCTCATCTCCGCAGACCCTGGTCACTGCCATGTGTGAATGAGTCTACAGTTGCAGCAGCCACTTCATTCGCTAAAGGGTCCAACGGAACAGCGCGGAAGGGGTAGCGACCTACCCGGGTGCCGTCCCGGACTGGTCCGCGCGCCGCTCAGCCAGCCACCCTAACCATAGCATAACGCGCTACTTATCTGCACCCTCTCACTTTTGGCTTTTCTCTGCCTCTAAGTGTTCACAACGGGATTTTGGTATCGACGTCAGCGCTGCACCTTGAGGATAGTGCGGGCGGAGTTCGGAACGGCACTGGGCTTACCCCCTTTCAGCTTCATTGCCGTGCGCTCTCATGTGTCGAAAGTGCTGCACATGTACAGCGGCCAACAACTAGCACAGCGCAAGGACCGCCCCCGGAAACGACTGTCCCGAAAAAAGCGCACGAATGAGGACAAAGGCACTAGAGGTTTCTTGGTGGTTGACTGTCTCCACCCACACGATAAGCGTGGTCTGCCGCTTCAAATATGACTCTTCCGAATACTTTTCTGAATTCTTCGCAAGATGGAATGGCTAGAACTTTGGAATCTTTCCCACGTCTGATGGAACTATTCACCATGGAAATTTGCCCAAGATTCTAACAACCACGCCCATCGAATTGGACAAGAGCCATTAATGGTACTATGGATTTTCACAGTGAAAGCTTTCGAACGTCTTTAATGGAAAAGCACATGGACGGCTCACCCTCTTAATGTCGTCGAGCGTATGGATTTCAGGCGATAGTCCACCGTGAACACACAAAAACTGCTGGTTCATTAACGCTGCCAACGGAAGCGCATCAAATGAATCCATACAGACGTCGTACACGCGTTCCGAATACTTGATTTTACCTGAATACGCACTAATTTAGAAATATTTCTAACAAAATCTTGATCTACAAATCAGATAAGTGGTCACGATAAATTTATTCAAGATTTGAGCTTTAGGTGGTGCTGAAGATTTTACAGCTTTCCATAATTATCCCCCTAATTGTGGGCGCAGTTTGGCTTTAGAGGAGGGGCGGGGGCATTTTGCACTTTCACCAGCTCAATTTGCTAGTTTGTATTAACTAACAAGTTCATTTTGGTGAGATATGTGAACCCTTATTAAGCTACGGCAGAGGTGGGGCGCTTCGTTTACGGGAATTTTTAGGTCCTAGCGAGGTGACCTGTACAAGCTCCGCTGAGTACCATCTAATGTCCCCACCAAGCCGAACTGCGCCTTATTTTGCTTTTAATCTTCATCATTGAAATCGCCCATACAGTACATTCGATGGACACAATATTGAGCGCAGGGTAAAGCCCGAAAAAGATTACCTACGTCCAGCATCCCATCCTTACGTCTCCGGTTTGGGAAAACCGCTTTGTATCCTCTTCGCAAGCGAAGTCATGTGCTGTGTGCGTCGTGTGGGCATACCCAGATTCAATTGATTTTACGTAATAAAACTACATATATCAAGTCCAG